TTTAAACTGTGGATCCTCACACTTATATTCCTGAAACATGCGGATCTACTAGGAACATTATTTGGTATCTTCCAGAAATAATTTTATCTTTGGAAGCTCATATTATTTTGCTTATGAAAGTAATTTCTATTATCATTAAAAATCTTATAAATATGCTTTCTCTTCTAGGTTTGTTGTTCCTCTGATGACCTGGACAGGAATTTAAAAAGGGAGATATCAGTATTTTCTGAAGCTTTGCGTGGAAATGATGGACCTGGGTCAGGTCAAATTTCACTTGAATTCTTCCAGAAGAAAAAGAATAGATGGCCCTTTCAGCCAGAACGTATTCCATGGGAAGTTTGGACTGTGAGACTTGAGCTTATTAAACTTAATAATGAACATGGTAAGGAGCATGTAATTACAATCAATCACTGGAGGAATGATTTTTGTAATTTAATATGTTGATATGTTTCTGCTTATGAGTTATTAGAGAATACTAGAGAGGAATGTAATGTTTGACCTTGTTGGTTCGTATTTTGCCCATTACATGTTTTTGTATTTAATTTATCACATGAGACCTGGTGATTTGAGGATAAGACAGTGGATTTTCAATCCCTCGTCAGTTCTTTGTCTTTTATTTAGTTTAGAATGACAAATGTCTATAGCGAAAGTTAATGCAAATTGAAAGTAATCCTTTATCTTGTATGTACTTGTAGTAATTCACAGGCAGTTTTGGAAGCAATTATAAAACTACATGTTCGTTAAAACATGTACAATCAAATAATGTGACACCATATTGAAGAAAGTCTTATTAATTTTTCTTTTCTATTTAGAACGGCAGGTATGCAGGGAGAGGGTAGGTGATATGCTGACTGAAAAAATCCTCTATATTGCTGAAGTGATGAATAGGCATGACTATGTTCCAAAAATGCCAAATCAGTCAGAGTTGGACCTCATTTTTGACACATCTTATGCAGATGTGCAGCCATATTTATTTAGGGTAAGGTAATATTGATAAAGAAATAAATTTAGTAAATCATAACATGTGAACTCTTTAGGTCGTCTGTCAGACTCAGTTTGACATTTGTAGAACTAATTTTTCATGCCAGTGATATATGTTATGAATACCATTTGAAAGTATCAGACTAATTAATTGAAGATGAAATAATAAGAAAGTGTAATTTACTAAATATTTATTAAACTGTTAGGGATTAGCTCTATTGGGCCCAA